TCATTTATATGGTTAAGACCCCGCCGAAGGCGAATCCGCGGTCAGAATTGATGGTTCTTTTTCTAACCTAAAAAAACGGGTCAATTAAAGTCATATATCACGAATTTTCAAAAAATAACATTCGCGCCAAATTTGGTATAAGGGAGTTTTCAGGGTCACTGATCAAGGATTCGAAGTCAATTTTGCAAATTTCAAGATGGCGGATCCAAGATGGCCGACCAAATTTTCAAAAAATAACACAATCGTGCCAAATTTGGTATACGGGGGTTTTCGGGGTCACTGATCAGATTTATAAAAATACTACGGATAACATATATGTCGCATGAAAAGTACAGACAACTTTTTTTTTGTGTGGCTGTGTAAGGCGCAATTTTCAAAAACTGATATTTCCGCTTTCGACCTTCATTTTACAGTGAAATATGACTTTGGATACCTGAAATTATAAGTAATTTACAACATAGAATAATAAATTTCCCGATAGGTCTCCTAGATTTTTGAGGGCAGTAAAAAAAACGAAAAAACACGTAAATTTGACACTTATTAGCAATTTGCCAACTTCACTTCTTTTGAGTTACTTTTTTGATAATATCATTCTACAAACCCTCCCCCGCCATAAAATGCAATAAATTGTCTATAGTCTGTTTAAAAATGAAAGAGAGTAATAAAAGCTTATTATGTATGCAAATCGTAAATAAATGTAGTAGGTACTGGTGGTTATTTTCAATATGTATTTTCCGTATAGATGAGGTGTACTTTTAAAAAAACTTTGTGTGACCGGGTTGTACTAAATTGTAGCAGGTAGCTAAAATTTAATCCCGGACAATCGGTCTTTGTCTATGCCGCTTCAATTTCTCGGTCCATTTCTCTTATAAGTAAACAATATAAAAACAGCATTTCAAAACATGAGGCTACTTTAAGCGTCATAACCGGGTTAAGAGAGTTTTTAGTAATTCAAATAAAATTATTCAATATTATTATCAAAATATTTATTTAAATTTAATGAATAGACTTTTATTCCACAGAAAAATATATGTATTTTGAAAATTCAAATTATGGTGAGTAAATGTAGTGTTGTATAAATGTACAATAAAGAAAATAAAAAAGTAGGTATACTAAAATACATCCTCTGAATATTCTGATGAATTATCTTCGTCTCCTAGATTGATAACGATAGGTTCCACAGTAACGTCAATTAAATTATCGAGTTCCCACATTTCTCCTCTTCTTTTTGTACATGATGTATACATCTTTGCCAGTTATCTGCAGTTATTCGTTTCAAGGAATTTTTTAACAAAATTTTCACGTCACTTAATTTAAACGTCGTATTATTTCGCGCTACATCTCCTTTTACCTGCGCCCAGACTAATTCGATTGGGTTAAGTTCACAGTGATAAGGTGGTAACCGTAGTACCGTTATTTGGCGATTTGTTGCCATTTCATCGATAACATATTTTTTCTGATCTTTATTAAGATTGACAAGTGTCAAAAGTTCCTTTTTCACCATATTTGTTTCAAAAGAAATGTTTTTTCCGGATAACCATTGAATTATATCGGCTTTCCTCCAAGCAGTCGTAGGCGTCCGCTCGGTCTGCCGGGAATGGTAACTGGCATTATCCATGACAATTACAGACCCCGGAGGAATAAGATCCAACATCTGTGTAAAATACTCTTCGAAAACATCTGCGTTCATGTCTTCGTGATAGTCACCTGTATTTTTAGATCCAAATAAAAGTAAACCGGCATCTACAAAACCACTGGTACTACCTATATGTGTCACTATTAATCTTCGCCCTTTACCTGAAGGTGCCTTGAACCCTGTTGAAAGTCCATCCAAAAACGTTTGTCGAAAACTTTTTACATTTTTATCTTGCCATACTTTTGTTACAGTATATCCCTCGTTGACCCAAGTTTCGTCTAGATAATAAATATTCCTCCCTTCGTCACGGAATTTTCTAATTGATCTTAAGTAGGATCTTCGCCAACAAATAATTTCATCTTTATCGATAAGAACTGACTTCCTGTTCTGCTTTTCCCAGCAAAAATTCAACTCTCGTAACACGGCCCATAATTTGCTTCTACTGATTTTTGGCAAATCGTTGTCCTCTGAAAGTTCACTTAAAATTTTGTTTAGCGTTGGTATTTCTCTTTTAAAATAAAATGAGTGTACTTTTCTGCGAATGACATTTTTGAAGAAATCATCTATAACGACTTTTGACCTCCCTGTAGATGATTTTGGGGGATCTTGTGCTGATATCATTCTTTGTCCTTCGCAATATAGTCTTTATATCTCGTGAAGTGATATGTCGAATGTGTCAAGTATCTTTGCAAAGCTCGCTGACTAGGGGGAGTTAAATTTCCAATGAAATATAAATTTTGTGGGCAGCAGCCTGTCATTTGAGTCGCGCACGGACAATTTGTCAAGAAAGGAAGAAGGTGGCTGCTCCGGGGGCATTAAATTTTCAGTAATGATGTCGTGACAGCGGCGGTACGCATTTGCCGAGGCAGAAAACAAATAAGTATTCAGTAATTAGGCAACAATTAAATCGACGACGGCCAACCTCAAGAATCGCATCGCGGGCCTGAATTATTTGTCAGGCGCAATTAAAAACCCCGGCACTGTTTCCGTTTCATCACGAAGCATCTTTAATTCACAACGATTCTTTTCCCGACGTGTAATTATCTTGAAAAAAATACGTAAAAAACAATTATTTTTATTAATAGTTGATTAGGAGCGGAACGATAGGCAGCGGGTATTTATTAAATATAGATTTGGAATAAGTGCTTTCATTTGGATTTTGTTTTTTATTTTGCCGCGAAACCATGGGTTTTGTGGCGGTATCTAACCATAAAATCGATGCTGCCATTGCCGTAATTATAGAGACGTGGACTCTATAATGGCCACTCTACAATTAACTTGCTTTTATTTACCTTTTATATTATGTGGTTTCGTATAATTATCGTAATTGAAATAAAAGTTCGATAATTTATTGTCAATATTGTCAACGAAAATATGCGCGCCGGGATCATTACCGCGGCACTTTGTCAGCATTCATCAAACTACAAACACACGAGAGTACTTCCAAATTACAATTATTTATTAGGTTCAGAATACACGGTACCCCCAATCGCATCTTAAATTGTTTGAAGCTTTCTGCGTTAGCATTAATTATGCCGCATAATTTGTGAATATATATTCTTTATTATTTTTTTATAGTTACTTTATTGCTACTGTATTTGATAGAACCTTGCAATAAATACATAGTTAAATTAAAGACATTCGAACAAAAATCATATTCATTTTAACTTTACACTGTGTTATATCTAGAAATCGGAAATGTTAGGGCCGCTGCAATGTGAAACAGGGTTGGCTGTAGGCCAATAAATTTGTTTTTGCTTATGGAACACCCTGTGTATTTTCTCATATTCAGATAAACCTTTCTCTTACGAATATAGTGCAGTAAGGTTTGATGGGTCTATCTCAAATAACAAGCGAGATATTGTGAGAAATTTATTTCAAAGAATTAATATCACTTTTCATAAAAGAATTGTACTTGGAAACGAAACAAATGCAAATAATTAACGAAATTTAACGTAAATTTTCAAATTGTCCTCCACCAACAATTTGCACACACAAACACACATTTGTAAACACTTTGCACACTACTCTCGATAAATTCTGGGCTGATTCTTTCCGTTTCAGCACGAATTCTCAGTTGTAAGTCTGCTAAATTGTTTGGTCTATTATTGAAGTAAGCCCTAGATTTTATATAACCCCATAGAAATAAATCCAGAGGAGTTAAGTCGGGGGAACGCGCGGGACACTCAAGAGATCCTCTCCGCCCTATCCATCTTTCAGGAAATGTATCATCAAGATATTGCCGAACCTCTAAGCCAAAGTGAGGTGGGGCTCCATCTTGTTGAAACCAAATATTTTCATGGGGCATATCGCTGTCTGCAGCGTTGGGAAAAAGAACTGCTACAGCCGGCTCAAAACTCATAACTCAAAAAAACGCAGAAAATCTAAATATTTAGCAGCAGTGAGGTATCTTAAAAAAAGTAAGGATCTAAAAATCGTCTCCTATGATTCCCACTCATACATTCAATTTGCCTTTACGCTGACTATGGAATTCTTGCGCCCAATGGGGATTGTCATTTGACCAATATCTACAATTATGGCGATGTACCTTGTCAGAAAAAATTATGTTGCTTAGAAAGTTTGGATTTTCATCACACCGTAATACTAATTGTTCACAAAAGTGCAACCGGCAGTTTCGGTCATCATCATTTTATTGAATGAAATACTTAATGTTATTATTAAATTACCAGCTTATTGATAGAAAGTGTCAATTTATTAATATGATAAATAACAATTTATTTGTTACGACATCCGCCTGCTTTATTTCTACAAATTTTCGCAATTACCCCTTTAGTGAACGATGATGCATCTAATTTTTTTACTAGAAAACTATCGGTTTTATCGAAAAATTACAAGAGGTAAAAAAAGTTGCGCAATAAATCAGTCTTCATATAAAAAAGTTCTAATAAAATATTACAATGGGATTGACTGTTTCACTCCTTTATAAAATACGCCAATGATCGAACAAATATTGAAAAGTTGTATCTTTATTAGTAGGATGCTCATACCAAGTTTCGTGTCTAGCATTCCTCAAGTTAAAGAAAAAAAAATTAAAATCTGAATTTCAATCCCCTCATTTAAGAGGGTATATCGCTTCAGGTGTGCAACTTTCGTATGAGGTATTTTTACTTCAATCCTCTTATTTTTGGCTCTACATTCACTGGTACCATTTTTGCAACTTCATTTAAAAGCACTAAACTATGTGTTAAAAAATATGTGATAAAATGTTTTAAAAATAAAAAAATATTATTTTTATAGAAATTATGTTAATAATTTTCTAATATGCTGAAAATAGCATTAACTTCATGAACGTAGTACAATTGTGATTAAAACTAGTTAAATTAAATAACCATTCGCTACTTACCGTAAATTGCTTTTCTCCCATGGGCCCTATAGTGGGGGCTTTGGTTTGCAGGTCCCTATCCTGGTCCCATTTCCATCGACTCTCTATTGTTTTTACCGGACTGATAATTGTAGAACCGACGCTTGAATCCGGTTTTTCCACCGACTTCATCTCTTGTTCGCACAAACTACCCGGGGACCATATGCTGTGTGTCCTTGACCTCCCTTTCAAGGACAAATTCAGCGGCGCATCCTCGTCTGGAAGAAAATTTAAATAGTTCAGAAATTTGATTGGTTAAGTCGCTAGATATATACAGGGTGTATCTACTACAACCTGTGTGTGGTCTGGAGAGGTGTGGGTTGGTTCAACTGTTTTATAGGCCAGTTTTTCAACTATTTGAGATTACAAGGAAAAGCTACTTTGTAGAAAATTATTATATCATTGTTGGTTTCCATGTAAGAAATACAATGTGTCACAATAATTGTAATCATTTATATAAGATTAAATTAATATTAAATGATTTTCTAAAGTGGTGAAAGTACGAAAAAGCAGACAAAACCATGTAAATTTTTCGAAAAATTATGCGAAAAAGAAATAGTAGTGGTAGTAAATGAAGATGTTCTATTAGCTTCTTTAACTGAACAATTAAACACGGTTATCAAATGTATGGAGTCTGTATTCAATGTTCAATGTTCAAGTATTCAAGTCCTGTATTTATTGTTCAATATTCATGTTAATACCCATGAAGAACACTGATATTAGCAAATTTCCGAAATTAATACTTTTTCTAATGAAAAAATCTGTGGACAAAAAGTCCAGAGTTTTCAGTATGCAAAAGTAGGTATACTAATTTTTAACAGAAGCCTGGAATGATTATCTTGTTATGAAGGAATTTTATACAATTTTTATGGGTTGCATTCAAAATTTTGGCAATTTGTAAGTTATGACTGTAAATGGTCAAAATTATTAGATATACAGGGTGTCCCGTTTATGTTTAAAAAAAGACGCCCTGTTTTCGAGATACAGTGTGTTGAAGTTGTTACTTTCCAAATGGTTTTCCTTAATTTTCTTTATTTAATTATCTTTATCTTTTAATTGTCTTAATTATCTTTTTATTGGCGGTGGAAGGATCAAGTAGTCGTTGGAAAATAAATGAATATTCGTTGTTTAAAGTGCATAGATGTCTCAAAATACTTGTCATTACTCAATATGAACGTCAAACGTATAACTTTTGTGTTTTCTCATTCAGAAAAAGTTGATATGTTACTAATTTACGGCGAGTGACAAAAAAATTCAAGTAAAGCTGTAGAGTTATATCCAAAGCGCTTCATTTCTACCTTTATAAAATTGGAGGTGACCTTGCGACGAAATGAAGAGACATTTTCTGTACGGAAGAATCAAATAATTCACCGAAGGGCAAGAAACAATATTAATACAACTAGACTGTTACAGTATATCGAACAAAATCCACGAAATTCTATACGGCAGGTTAGCCGGAAATTGTTTCTGGAAAAAATATAATTGATGACGTCATTAGTCGTTTTTCTCAAATCCCAAAGATAATACTTTCGAATGAAATTGGAGCTGACCTCATCCCATTTAACACTACTTGTCCCAAATTTTATTTAAATTTTTTGTATCCTCACAGTACAGTAGACCCAAATGATGAAATTGAAGAATAGTTTTCCAAAATTCCATCATAAAAAGAAGATTGGATTTGTCTTTAAATTGAAGCTGTTAAGCTTCAAAAAAATATGTTTTAGACAACAATTAAACGATTCAATTGTACTATAAAATAGTTTTCGTTCAATTTCTTATATTTGTAACAGAATGCGCTGGCAATCGCAAGTTAATTTCAAGACACCCTTTTAATGCGAAATCACAAAATCCGACAACACTGCTACTCTCAAAACTTAGCTCTATGGTCCCAAAATGCAAAGTGACGGTTTATGGCACACGTGTAAAATTCCGGCGACCTTCCGCAGGACAGTGAAGTAATCAGGATCGATATCAGCGTATTTAGTTCAGCCTTACAAATCGTTGCTTTTCCATCCTATCAGCAAACAGCGACCAATTAAAATTTTAATGATGATAACTGTGTCGGCCGCTCGCGATTTATGTTAAGGTTATAATTGTGGGTAAGTGGTAAATATTTTTAAACCACGATTATTAGCAACAAGGCTCAGTCGACTGTAGATTAGGAAACCAATTACTTTGATAAACATTAACAACTTTCTAAGTACACCTGAAATATGCGTAATGTCCTGTAGAAATATGATACCTATAAATATATGCTAGTAAGGCTATTATTACTGAAAAAAAAAGTTATTGATTTCACTTACGGGTATAGTTATTATGATAATTTTTGACGCAAGCTGTCGTATCGCTAATTATGTGAGCGTATATTTGAATTATTGAGGTAATGAACGCTTCCGAAGAAGGACCGATAAAAAATTTACTTTCTAATACACCCCATTTAGCATTTCGTAACGTGACACTTCACCTTTTGTTGGGGAAAGTTGGAGCAAATTGCTTTTAACGAGACGATTGAAAAAGTTTAGTAAGTTTCAAGGGGTTCAAGATTTTCTGGTTTTAAAAATAATAACTACTACCTTACTTTGTATTTTCTTACCTATTTTTGCTTTTTCCGGGGCGCAGCCTTTGTCCACGACTGTAACCCGGTCAGGACTGAGCGATTCCGGGCGATGTGCAGGGGAGTAGGGCAAGAAGAGTCCGGGAATCGGGTGCCATATGTACGGGGGGTAGGGTGAGGACACCAAAGGACTCAGTGAGTTGGCGTACATTAAAGCACTCATACCTGAAATAGACAGATACATTTTAGAATACAGAATTTGCAAGTAAAATTAGTAAAAAAAATAAATTGTTACGATACACATCCTGATGTGCATATCGGTTGAGTATTGGTGAGAGATAACCTACATAACATATGTCATAGGTATTTTTAAATGTCATTGCTGTCTACTACTTTATGTAGGCAACAGTATACTAACGTGACGTGAATGTGAAAAGCATTCTGAGACAGCGGCTCACGCATGTCTCGGTTGATCCGCTTGACATGCCATTGAATTGCGATGCTTTCTGACAGCTTTAATGATCATGTGAGTTGTAATCATTTAGTAAATATCTACGTATGGAAACCAAGTGTTGATTAAATAATAAAATTTATTGTTCTTTAACTTTCTATTTCAGTCGAAATAATAATTAATTTATGTTTATTTGTTATACAGGGTGTCCACAAATTTTACCGACAACGTTTAACTGCATATTCACGACGATAAATAAAGTTAAATTAAAAATTATTGGTTTTTGACTTACAATCCTTCAAAGTTGTCAAAAATAAAAGTCATTTTACTTCATAACCATTTTACCGACCGCGTTAAAATTTGAGGTATTTTTTTGGACTATTATGGCATATTATGTGCTAAATTTTATCGCAATCACGATTGGAAAAAGGGTTATGAAGTTATTAATTAAATTAGTGTTATTTTTGACAAATTTGAAGGCCTGTAACTCAAAAACCAAAAAGTTTTTATTTAACTTTTTTGTCATAGATCGTATTTATTTATCCTCGTGAATATGCAGTCAAACGTTGTCGGTGGAATTTTCCCTGTATGAAAAAGTTTTTAAGCTATGCTAAAGAAATTTAAAAAAAATGCTATGCAATCTCATTTGAAATGCAACTTTTTTTTTAATTTCGAATATATTTACAGGGACAATGATTTACTTGAACATTCATTATCGTTTTGACTAAGAACTATTTAAGCTAAATTGACACGGTGGTTTAAGAAAATATTAAAAGCCCTTTTAATCATATAAGCATATAATAGGGTTTGAAATATAATTAAATTTTTCGAGAGTAAGCGCATTTGGTGAAAATTGCGCTTACTCTCGTCACATTATATGAAAAGTTACAATTTACAGACAATGATGAGTATGATACTAAGGTGGTATTTACATAAAAGTCACTCAAAATTGAATTCCTTTTTTTCTTATTTTGGTAGATAAACATGTATTAAATGTGGTACTGAAACGGTTGTTTCATAATTAACTTTATATGTGAGGTAAAGTATATTTGGCATCTACTTTATGGCTGTAATTTTAGGTTTTTATTCGATTTTCTAGAATTTATCGTCATTGTGAAATAAATACAGGGTGTTAAAAAAAGAGTGTAAAATATTTAAGGAGATAATAGTATGAACCAAAATAAGCAGAAAAGTCACAATAAACATGGGTCTGCAAAGTAACGGTTGCGGAGATATGGAATGTTTTATGTTTTTTAGCCCCTTTTTTATTTTGTAAAAACGTTGTGTTGGTTGATGTTTAGTGAAATAAACAGTACGTATTTGACAGTTGTTCTCAGTGCACAAGTTTTCTTTCGCTATGGCTGGTTACTCTAACGCAGAATTAACAGACATGCATTTCATGTATGGTCGTGGTAATGGGAACGCCACCGAAGCGCGACGTCTTTATGTTGACGCTTATCCAAATCGCCAGATTCCTTCACAACGCATGTTTGGAAGAATTCACCAAAGATTGCGTGATACCGGTTCCTTGAGCAAACAGTGCCATTTATCCGGAAGACCAAGGTCGGTATCCACTCCTAGAGCAGAAGAAGAAATTCTAGCACTGGTAGAGCAGAATCCAGGTACGAGTGTGCGGAGAATATCAGCCGAGGTAGGAATTAGTGGTCCTCTTGTTTGGAGAATCCTTCACGAGCAACTGCTTTATCCATACCATGTGCAACGAGTACAGGCCTTAAATCCAATAAATGATCATCAAGCACGTTTGGTTTTTTGCCGCTGGTTTCTACGTCATGATGCTGAAGACCCTCGTTTTCTTGCAAACATTCTTTTTACTGATGAGGCCGGGTTCACAAGAAATGGAGTGTTTAATTTTCACAATACGCATATTTGGGCCGACGAAAATCCTCATGCTCTAATAGAATCTGGACATCAGGCACGTTTTTCATTAAACATTTGGATGGGTATTGTAGGTGACAGGTTTCTAGGTCCTGTTGTTTTACCAAACCGATTAACAGGCGCTGCTTACCTCAACTTTCTGCAGAACACACTGTATGAGTTTTTGGAAGACATTCCTTTGAATCAGAGGCAACAAATGTGGTTCCAGCATGATGGTGCTCCAGCTCATTTTTCCATGGCCGTTAGAGAGCATTTACACCAAACTTTTCCACATAGATGGGTAGGAAGGGCCGGACCTGTTTTATGGCCTCCAAGATCGCCTGATCTGAACCCTCTAGATTTCTTTGTTTGGGGATATTTGAAGACATTAGTGTATGGTACTCCTGTAAATAGCCTGGAAGAGCTGCAGCTACGGATTAATCAAAAGTGTCAAGAAATCCAAACCAAGGAGGGTGTTTTCGAAAGAGTTCGAATATCGTTGAGACGAAGATGTCGTGCCTGCTTGGAAATGGACGGAGGGCACTTTGAACATCTTCTGTAACTTTGTTTTTTGTTTGTTAAAAGCTTCCTTTGTCGGTTTATTCCTAATAAAATAAAATGTTTGAAAAACGAATAGTGGTCCATATCTCCGCAACCGTTACTTTGCGGACCCATGTTTATTAAGACATTTCTGCTTATTTTGATTCATACTATTACCTTCTGAAATATTTTACACTCTTTTTTTAACACCCTGTTTAAATGGTATAACTGACGGTAGATAGCTGTATTAACAATTGATTTAAGTGACTGTAGATGGCGATATTTTTCTGTAGGCATCTCTATGGTTTCTATTCACGTGCGTAAACACGAAGTTTATGTGTACAGCAAACAAATGTGTAATTAAACGTATTTTTCTCGAAACAACGTTTACTGAACTTTTTTTAAGGTCTAGATCTTGAACCCAATAATTTAATACTAACAAAACAGGGAAAACAATTATTTTTTATATTCTTTTTAACACCTGTAAGATAAAAAAATTAAAAAGTCAAGACTAAAATTCGTATGCCTGACGCTTTTTTCTTCTATTCCAGTTTTTTTTATTTTATTAGTATATCCTCCAACTACGGACACATATTTAAGAAAAATTTTTTGATTTTTGATTTCAGATAAAATTTACAACTATCCAAAGTGGATATTTTGAAGGTGATAACCGCGCACGACATAACTGTCCACCGTGACAGTATTTTGTACCAACAAAAATTAGTTTTTCTCTTAAATACTTAATAAATATTTAGCAAAAAATATCCAGCATTGTCCTGCAAATCCTGCAAATTGTCTCATTTTTTATTAAGTTGATGTAAATACACCCTTAAGTAAAAATTTTAATTTTCCTGATAAAGTGTGATCTAAATATTCTAGGAACCTCACCATAAATGACTATTATTATATCTAGAAAAAAAAAACTATTAAAGGGGAATATAACTGACTCACCATTAACTGTTAAATAATTTTTACTCCTTTGTAAATCCTTGGGGTAGACTAGAGAGAAGGCGCTGTGCCTGGACGCTGGGGAGCGAGGCGATGAAGGACTTACGCTCCTTGAGGACACTCCTGCGACGGGGCTGCTCGCAGGACTGCAGGGAGATCGAGGGGGGGTCTCTCCAGGCACGTTGGTGTACTGGGACAGCATGGCCAACCGAGGCATCCTGGAAAGATAGAAAAAAATAGGTTAAGAGGATAATAAAGTCTCAGTATTTTAATAATATTTGATGGTTCGCAGGCTGTTAACACGGTCGATAGCCGCACGGTTTAAGGCGTCAGTACTTAAATCGATGTGTCGATCTGCCCGGGTTTCAAATCCCGCGGCCGGTAGACCGTAGATTAGCTATGCTTGTACGGAGGATTGGCACCCTCTGTGCAGGTATGGTAGGGCGGAAGAATGTTGGCTTGGGTTAATGTGAAAGATTGACACCGGTTGGCATTTGACCACCCCCCTAATTAATAAGGTTTTCCAGGTTTCCCTCATTCCTGCACTGAATGGTGGTTAGGGCCTACCAACATAAGTCGTTCCTGAGCGCAAATGCGGCCTGCGTAATAATAATATGCCGCCTCCTCTCCCGCACAAGTCTCCGACTTCTGGGCTAATTCTCGTAGTTAGAATGAGGAGTAGGGATATTATTATTTTTATTATTATTATTATTAATCATCAAAAAAATTGAGAAAACAGTATGGGTATTTAGTTTAGTATTGGTTAGTTTATTGGTTAGTCCTAGATAATACATTTTTAATAGGTATAATTTCAGACCAACTGCGAAAAAATATCAGATATCACAATAAACTTGGAATGGAATGAACGAGAATCCTTTCTATAATATCCAATCAGTAAGGATACTGCTGAAAAACCTTGACATGAGATTAACAGATTAAGTCCTGATAGTATTACAGAACTCAGAGTTATCCCATTACTGAATGAAATCGTTAAAATTTTTCTTTTGCTAAACTAATTTATAGACACAAAATCTAAAGTAGTTTGTCTCAATACGGACAGACTTAAGAAAAAAAATTAGTGAGGCACAATTTGTATTTGTTTGTAATACAATTTTCTCAAGTAGGAAAAAAGTGTTTTGTAAAAATTACTATATTTTTTCGTGGTCCTCCATGTTATGTAAAAAACTGTAATCAGAAACTGAAAAACAGAAAAAAATGTAACCAAAACAGATTTAATCAAAAAAAAAGTATTTTCATATAAATTCACATAAAAATACATTTATTACAGTAAAATTTAATAAAAATTGTTCTATTGAATTCTATAATTTATATCATCTTCTATTAGTAGTAGAAAGTAGTACACACGAGTATTTACTAAAACGTATTTTACCACAATGTTGTTTTTAATGAAAATTCTTTACAGAAAATATTTTTAAAAAATTTTATTTTACCGCGACATGCAGTTACACTTTTGGATTTTACCGTCTTTATTGTATTAGATTAGTTAGCTTTAGTTTTATCTCGTATGCGGTTGTGAATAATTGTATAAAAAAATTGCAATACAGGAATTTGGTAGGTGGCTGTGGTAGCTTTACTTTATTTTAAAGGCATTAAACCTAATTAAAGTAAATAAAAAAAATCTTTAAAAATCCTGTTAAATGAAGTCAAATAAATGAAGTCAAATAGCTTGTCTGTGGTATTTTACACACACTTTTTTTTTTGTATTGAGGAATACTTACTCTTTTTATAAATATTTTTGAATTTGTATGATTTAGCTTAATACCGCTAAAAAAATAAAGTGGAACGAGTGCAATAATAAACCGTAAACAGTAATAAACCCCTTTAAGGGCATATAACTTCCTAAGGATGCGTTTTAGGGCACATGTTAATAGGAACTTTTTGGCTTATTTTAATGAGTTATAAACGCAGCAGAAGTTTGGAACCCTATTTTAGCAACACCCTGTATAGGTACTCTTTAAATAAATTCTTCACGTAAACTCGTATTTGGTGCCCTTGTACCTAAATCAGAGTAAATGTCCTCATTACTGATTGTGAGTGAGTTTAAATGTATATTAATTTCGAATCGATGGAGCCCTCAAGATGGCACCACTTACATACTGCTTCTGTAATCTTGATCACAGTTGATAGGGGCCTGTTAGATGCTCCAGAAAAGCGTGATCACCAGGACAACAGGCCTTAGCCGGTGGAAGCAGGTCTCAGCTGGCGGATCTCAGCCAGGACAGGAGGAGGCCCCGCGAAGTGAATTAATTTCGACACGTATGTCCTAATTAATCATTAATGAGTGATTTATTTTTGCACTCAATATTTAGTTAATTAAAAACCAAGTCTGAGTAAAAAATGATTCAATAATAGTTAAATTTAAATCATATTAGAGAAAAAGTCAACTCAAAATTGGTTTCATATGTATACTCAAAATGGAGTCAAAAGTCACTCAATTGATAGTTAGCAGTAACTTGGATTTGAGTAAAACTCACTCATTTTTGATGCAACAGATTCATTCAGTTGTACTCATAGTCATTGAGTGTAAAAATTTCACTACTCAAAAATATTACAAAAAATCGAAAGTATTTTTTTGACTTTAACGTCTTGTAGAATGAAAAAGAGCAATATTCGAGTGAGACATACTCACTACAATTGTCATATTTTGCCGTCAGCAGTCTTTCCTTAAGGTGCGTACCATTATTAATGAATCACCCTGTATATATCGCATTAAAATTTAATTTGACATTTTAAATACAATTTGGTGGTAATAATGTGAGACAAAAATCGTAATTAATCGTATTTTCTATATAAATTATTGTCACCAGAGTCACAATCGTGTACATTTTAATATTATCTCTTTCCGAGTAAATATGCTTAGTACTGCTGATAAATTAATTAAATACTTTATTCAAAAAATAATTTCTTGTATGAAACTATTTATTTCTTCGATTTTTTTAAATATGTCAATCGTTAATCTGGACCTTTCTTCAAATCAACGCAAACAAACTCATTCAAACGATCGTTTCCCGACAGCGAAAATCGTTGGAACGCATCCAATGAAATTAGAGATAAGAGCAATAAAATAAATCAATTCCGTTGGGGCAAATGGACATCGGCGGTGTAGTTAATGCTGTTTAGTTGAACGTGGCTGCGATCACGCGACGATGATTTCGTCTATTGATCACCGAGATTGTCGCAGTAATTGCTCTACTATATCGCCGGCGACAGGGGAGGAGAAGCCCCAGGGGCGCTGCCCCAAATGCCGCTTTGGTGTAGAACCAGAAGGGGTTACTGCTGATCCTTAAAATGGCCGACGAGTTACTTTATAAGGAAAAAAACTTTGTTAGGGATAAATTGCAGCACTTTGCAAAAGGGACAGTTATAGTATATTCGCATTTTTTTAACAACACAAAAAGTGGTCTGTTCTTTTTATCAAACTCAGTTATTGATGCCTTTTCGTACTCCCTGAATACAAATTTGAAGTTAGATTGGCGCCAGCGCCTACTATTTTCGAGAAAATGACCCCCAAATTATCAATAAATGGGTTAAATGCGAAGAACTGTACCGTCATGGCAGAGACTAACCCCTATATTGAATTCCATAACCTTACCCCTATATTTACGAACTTGTTGAATCTGGAGTCAGCTTGGCATCAGTATCCACCATTTTCGAAAAAAAACGCCCTCTCAATTAACAAAAGTGTCAGGGTGTTTTCCTTTTTTAATTAACTCTTTCGATTGTTGTGAACTCTTTTCTGTTCAAAAGATCTACGTATTCGGTTTCTCTTTTTCTTGTTAATTCCAACCGTACATTCTCTTTGCAACATACGTTTCTCTTTTTTCTTCCAATTCCTTTCAATCTTGGTGAAATCGTTCACCTTACTCTTTGCTATAATCACCTGAGTTTTAGGTTCATTGAACAACCCTGAGATTCTCAATCATTTCCATGATTAGAGTTTTATAATTTTGATTGCCCGAAGTTTTCTTTTTCTGTAACATTTTTGAAACGCATTGTCATGCAGCCCTGTCAGTTTTTTTCATTTTCAATACAAAATCTTCACCACACAACATTTTACGAACTTGAGGTTGAGGAATGTACCTTCTTTCAATTTAGCATTGCTGATATCAGGAAATTTTTTCTCCCAAATCCCGTAACATTTACCTTTGTCCAAAGCTATAACGAATTGTATCATTAGCTTTATGTGTAATGGAGGAAGCAACACCTTAGATGGATTTAACAAAAGCGCTTAAGTGACTTTAAAAGATTCTGAAGTCAGATCTACTACATAGCTTTCTTTCAGTTTTGATAAGCGTGCTATTGGAACTGAAGAAGCATACTCATCACCATAATGTAACAGAACTGCATTCAAGATTCGTTTTAAGAAGTCCATAAATAACCTTGACGCATTGTCTTTATAAACGTTGTGTTTTAACTAATTTATTAGGTTTTTAGCGTCGCAATAATATACTAACTTATCCTCATCATTTGAAGAAAACTTTGACGTGATCGATGCGTAGAAGCTTTGGTTCCTTCAGATTGAAAATATTTCATTTTCACTTCTCTAGTTATATATTCAGCTCTATCTTTTGGTAAACCTATATTGCGAATAATTTAACTCACTCTGATTAAACATTTGCAGATGTTTTGTTTCCATCCCAAGGAATACAATCACTGTCCATTTCACTGTAATCATCACGCTCTCCGTATTCCTTCTCGTCTTCCACTTCAGAAAGTTTTCTTCGTTTTCAGATTAATTTTCCATATTCCCTCGTGGCACAGTGTCATCTACTTACATAAACTCTACTTATGCGGAAGAAGTCGTTTCCATTGTATGAATCGTACATATTTGAGGATTTTGAGAGTATTTTCTTGAGAACGATGGATGCTGGCGCTAAACTGACTTCAGGCATATTATACCTGCCACATGTCACACCGAAACTATTAAATATTATTAAAGGCTGTCTCGATTTATATGTATATATGCAGCTAATTATCATATTAGCAGGATATGCACATAGAGTGTTGTTTAGGGATATGAACTATAGGAAAAAGTTATTAGGACGATCCAAATCCGTCAGCTTGCATTAACACAGAAGGGTACCTATGTTTACCTATTACCTATTTTTAAAGCTGAAGACAAAAATGAGTTTTAGTGCATTGAAACTGAAGTTTTTTTTTTGCTTTTATTAAAACCTTATTTTACCAAGCAAAAGTT